AAATCTAAGTCACATTTATATAAAAGTCTTCAAAGCAACTATATCCATTTAGAATACATTCTGCTATAGTAACAGAGCATTTGACTAAAACTGGATTAAATAGTCAAGAGGTGAGATGGTCCAAGGTTAGTGGAGCACTTCAAAATGCCACCAGAGACCCAAGCCCTTTCTATTCAGGCTCTGACATTAAGCGACAGGTCTCCATCCTAATGCATGTTATTGCAGGGTTACAATATGATCTCACATCTATATCACGGAAAAGAAGGGGAAGGGTTTTGCCTTTATCAGGAAAGTAAACACTTTCCTACAAACCTCAAAGATATATTTCCACTTATATCTTACTCATCAGAACTGTTTTCCATTGCCACCCTTAGTTGCAAAGGAGTGTGGGAAGATGAGCATTTTTTTTTTTTTTTTAGTAAGATACACTGCTGCCTCAACAAAGTGTTTTGTTAGTAAAGAAGAAAGGGGTAATGCTCATTACATAGGCAACCAGTAGTATAAGCCAAAGCAATACACTATGGTAAAAACAAAAATATTACAGTTTAGAGGAAGCCAAAAACACTGTAAACTATGGGGCCTTGAGAAGGTTTCTGAAATGAGAAATGTTTTAGACTTTGGCTAAGTAGAAAGGAAGAGCAAGGGAATTCTCAAAGAGGATAAAGAAACAAAAAAACCATGAAGACAGGAAAATGCAATAAGGCCTAAAAGTAGATTACCCTGTATAAAGTTTTTAATTCCATGATGAACTTTTCAAAAAATTGCTGAGGGACGAATATGCATGTTGTTTCCTAGCAGAAGGAAATGCGGCATCATGTTAAAAAAAAAAAACATGAGCAAAGGATATGAATAGGCATTTCTCTAAGGAAGAAACACAAATGGCCCATAAACACATGAAACGATGCTCAACATCATTAGTCTTCAGGAAAATAGAAAGCAAAACCATAATGAGATGCTACTTCACAGCCACTAAGATGGCTAAAGCCAAAAAAGCCAGTAATGATAAATTTCAGTGAAGATGTGGTAAAACTGGAAGCTTCACGCACTGCTGGTAAAAATGGAAACTGGTACAGCCAAATTAGAAAGAAGTCTGGAAGTTCTTCAAACAATCATGCTGTCATATGACCCAGCAATTCCCAAGAGAAATGAAAACACATGTCTGGACAAAAAACTTGTACATGAAAGTTTATAGCAACATTGCATATTAATAGTCAAAAGGTGGAAACAATCCAAATGGCCATTAACTGAAGAACGGATAAATGAAACATGGTATATTCATACAATGGAGTATTATTTGGCCATAAAAAGGAAATGAGGTACTGATACTATCACATGGACAAACCTTTAAAACATTCTGCTAAAGAAGCCAGTTGAGAACGACACACATGATGTTATTCCACTCATATGAAATGCCCAGAACAAGAAAATTTACAAGAGACAGAAAGTAGCTTCACTGGTTGCCTATGGCTAAGGCAGGATAAGTGAGCTTGGTCCACCTTGGTCCAAACCAGCATTATTTCATAGCTGGATTATTTCAATAACTTAACCTCCTTGGTTTCCCTGCTTCCATTCTTTGTCCACCAATGGATTCTGAGTGCCTAGGATAGTTATCACAGAAGATAGTAGATATTCAATAATTTAGTTGATATTATTCTGACTCCCAAGTCCTATGTTCTTTTCCAGCTTTTTCTCCTGATTTATTTTGCAGATGTCATGGTAGGAGAGAGAGTGCTACTCAGCATTCAAACTCCCTTCCTACTTTGGGGAACTGCTGATGCCAAGAGGAGGCAGCTATCTCCCACCACAAAAACTGGAAACCCCATGGGATGCCTGGGTGGCTTAGTCAGTTAAGCATCTGACCCCTGATGTACACTCAGGTCATGATCCCGCAGGTTCATGATGAGACTGAGTCCTGCACTGGGCTCTGTGTTATCAACACAGAGCCTGCTTGGGATTCTCTCTTTACCCCCCCCCTTCTCTGTCCCTCCCTGTGCTCGCTCGCTCTCTCTCTCCATCCCTCTCTCTCTCTAAACAAACTTAGAAAAAAAAAAGAAACTAGAATCTCCAATTACTTATTTCGCCAGTTCCTCTGGCAACAAGAGTGTGAAAATGTAACCCAGGCTTGGCCAAATCACATGTACCTCCACAAGTTGTGACTGGTAGCTGGGACAGAATTTTTTTTTGAGGGGTTTTTATGTTTGTTTTCTTTTCTTTTCTTTGGTAGCAGCAACATCTGGTTCTTCAGCCTGAGTCAGAGGCACCAGTGGAATCATCTTCTGAGGTCAGCAATGTCACTAGAGCTAGGTGCAGTGTTCGTGGCTCCGGGCAGTAGAATCCTCACCAGACAGGTTTCATGGTATGACTTTGGCTGTGGTCTGGCTGTGTACCTTCCCTCAGCTCCTGCCTACTTTTACAACTGGGTTTCCAGTCTTCCCAGTGATTCTGCAATTCCATCTTTTATCTTTCAGTAAATAAATAAAATGTACGATTTTTTGCTAATGTCATCCCGAGTTAATCTTCACTGGTTATAGTTAAAAAACAGTGACTGACAGAGGTCTCCTACAGACTAACTCTTTACCCTTCTTAATCCTATGAGAAACATTTTAAATAGTGGTGTTTCAGGAGGATTTTCCTATGAAGAAATGTAATCTCACATTACCTCCAAACAGAAAGAAATTCATTTCCTTTATTCTTTTTTTTTTTTTTTAAGTTCATTTATTTATTTTGAGAGAAAGAGTGCACATGAGGAAGGGGGAGACAGAGAATCCCCAAGCAGGCTCTGGGCTGCCAGCAGAGCCCGATGCAGGGCTCAGAACTCACAAAACCAAGAGATCATGATCTGAGCTGAAACTAAGAGTCAGATGCTTAATCAATTGAGCCACCTGGGCACTCCTCCTTTACTGTTCTTGATTAACTTTTCCTGGTCCTGTTACCTTCTTGAGAATCAGTATTCTTTCTTGCCTCACTCCAAAACAAGTCCATAGCCCATTTCCCTGAAGTCCCATTTCTTACCTACACTGTAAATTCCACATGGTAATTCACCTCCTCAGTTGTGTACAAGAATAAAAAAAAAAAAAAAACACTTCATTAAAATGTAGTGGAATCTTGTAGTACAGACTAAATGCATGATCTTGGAAACAACCAAGATTTTCTTTAATAGCTGAATGAATAAACTGCAGCACAACTATGAAATGGAATATTATTTACCGATAAAAAGAAATGAGCGATCAAGCCACCAAAAGACACAGAGGAAACCTAAATATATATGACTAAGTGAAAGAAGCCAATCTGAAAAGGCTATAGACTGTACGATTCCAACAATATCATATTCTGGGAAAGGTAAACTACAGAACAGTAAAAATACCAGTGGTTGCTAGGAGTTAGGGGACAGGGAAGGATGGAGGGGGGAGAGGGAAGGACGGTGGAATAACTCCAGCACAGGAGAATTTTAGGGCAGTGAAGCTATTCTGTATGTTCCTGCAATTGTGGATACATAACACTTATGCATTTGTCAAAATTCACAGAATATACAATATAAAATGTGAACCCCGGTATATACTATGGACTGTATTTAATAACAAGGTATCAATACTGACTCATCAAGTATAACATGTATCACACTAATACAAAACGTAAATAATAGGGGAAATTTCGTGTTTGGTGGGGAGTAGGGGGTGGTACAGGTATCCCCGTTTTTCAAGAGTTCATGTTATGCCACTTTGCTTTTATGAAAGACCTACATTACTACCTATTTTTACTAACTCGAAGAAATCTGAAGGGTACCTTTGCTTTTACAAAAAAGATAAAAAGCAAACCGAGTGTTCAGCATTCATTTTGCAGCAAGCCCTTACAGAGGCAGCGTGCACCCAGAGCAGTAAGAGTGGTCCAAGCTCCTTCCCTGGGAACTATACTCAGCATCTCAACATCAAGCTCCACAGCACTGAACTGTGTCTATGAGCATCTGTACTTTACTTTTATGTATTTTGTGCATCCGTTAGGAAGATGTGCCCTAAACTATTAGAAAAATCTAAGAAAGGTTACTTTTGGGGTCTAGAACCACTCAGATTTTTTTCCATACAGATTATAGATTAATGGTAACTGCTTTTTCACTTTACACTATTTTAGCTCACAAAATGTTTCAAGGAATACTCCCCTTTCAGACACTGGGAAGAGACTATACAGCTGACCACTGAACAATGCAGAGTTAGAGCAACCCTCATTCAGTCAAAAATCCACATGTAACTTTTGACTCCCCAAAAACGTAACTGCCGGGGCACCTGGGTGGCTCAGTTGTTTGAGCCTCCGACTCTTGGTTTCAGCTCAGGTTATGATTCCAGGGTCATGGGATCCAGGCCCACATCGGGCTCCATGCTCAACATGGAATCTGCTTGAGATTCTCCCTTTCTCTCTCTCTCTCACTCTCTCTCTCTCTCTCCACCTCTCCATCCCTCCCTCCCCTCACTAGTGCTCTGTCTCTCCAAAAAAGAAAAAAAAAAAAGTAACTGCTAACAACCCACTGTTGACCAGAAGCCTTACCAATAACATAAACAGTTGATTAACACATATTTTGTATGCTATCATATATATTGTATTCTTATAATAAAGTAAGCCAGGGAAAAGAAAATGTACATAATCATGAGAAAAAGAAGTACATTTACAGTACTATATGTATACAAAAAATCCATGTGTAAGTGGACTCATGGAGTTCAAACCCATGTTGTTAAAGGGTCAACAGCATTGGGGAACTCTCTGTACCTCCCCACCCCTTTTTCTGTAACTCTAAAGGGAACTAAAATACTATAAAATAGTATCATGATATGGGAAGATGAAGGTTAAAACATTCTAAGACCCTCGTATTGTTTGGAAGAAAGAGACATTGATTATCTCTAGACTTTGAGTCAAATAATGCATGTTAAAAATTTAATGGATAACCACATAAATAAACACAAATTTCTTTCTCACAAAGCAAATCTGCAATTTTTTAATCTGTGGTGGCTTACCTGAGATTCCAGAACCTCCAGCTTGCGTTTTCTTGCATGAAGAGCTTTGCTTGGAAAAGCCCAATAATAATTGGATGTTCCAATCCTCTCACAGTCAACCATACCATCATCAACTAAGCTTTGAAGGACTTCTTTTACTGACATAGCAGCTAAAAGAGATAATTTTTAAAGACTACATTAAGACACATCCTATACAATTAAAAGGCCAAAAACTAGGAAAACACTTGCAATAAATATACAGAAGGGGTAATAAATTAACAAAGGAGCTTTTAAAAATAAAGAAATACAATGTACAAAAGTACATCAATGAACAAAAACAAAATATACACAGCCAATAAACAAAAATGTTTAACCCCACTAATTGAAGAAATGCAAAATAAAGCAATGACATGATTTCTTTTTTTTTACTTTTTTAATTTTGGGGGGGGGTTCCCCCACATTTCTGAGAGAGAAAGAGAGAGAGACATGAGCAGGGGAGGATCAGAGAGAGAGCAAGACACAGAATCCAAAGCAGGCTCCAGGCTCTGTGCTAGCTGTCAGCACAGAGCCTGACGCAGGGCTTAAACCCACGAACCGTGAGATCATGACCTGAGCCGAAGTCGGACACTTAACTGACTGAACCACCCAGGCGCCCTTGACTTATGATTTCTTGAATACCAAATTAAAAATACCAAAAATATCATAAAAGATTTAGGGTAATGAGTACTCTCATCATGGGTAGAAAATATGGCTATATATTGAAAACCTTAGATTTAAGCATACTTTTATGTAGAAATTCCACTATTTTAAATACAGCCGAAGAAAATGACAGACATGCATAAGGATGCTTATCAAAACACTGTTTTAAATAGCAAAAAACTGGAAATCAGTCCAATAACTGGACTTGTAAAAATATTTTACTGTGGGGCACCTGAGTGGCTTACTCCGTGAAGCGTCTGACTAGATTTCAGCTCAGGTCATGAACTCAGTTTGGGAGTATGAGCCCTGCCTTGGGCTGTGCTGTGCTAGGGATTTTGTCTCCCTCTCTCTCTGCCCCTCCTCCACTTGCTCCCTCTCTCTCTCTCAAAATAAATAAAAATAACCTTAAAAAAAGGCATTGTATTCTGATGGGATACTGCACAATCATTAAACTTATGTTATAAAATATTTAATGGCATGGATATACATATACAATTAAAATGCAGTATATAAAATATAGAGAAATAGAGGTGCCTGGGTGGCTCAGTCAGTTAAGCATCCGACTTCAGCTCAGGTCATTATCTCACACTCCATGAGTTCAAGCTCCACACTGGGCTCTGTGCTGACAGCTCAGAGTCTGGAGCCTGCTTCAGATTCTGTGTCTCCCTCTCTCTGCCCCTTGCCCTCTCACACTTGCGCTCTCTCAAAAATAAACATTTAAAAATTTTTTTTAAATATATAGAAAAATAAAGTTTAAATATGCACTAATGTGACAAGTTATCTGGTTGGTAAGAGGCAATTTTTATTTCCTCTTTTTGTTTATTTTTCTTTTTTTTCCAACAATGAACATGTTTTGCCTTTTATGCTAATAAGACTAAAAAAAGAAAAAACTATTGAGAAAAATTAAACAATAAAATAAACTGAATGTTACGGTTAAGGGTAAGGTAAAAAAATCAGAAGTTTTCAAAAATAGCATATAAAAATGTAAAGTCATATTTCATAAATATTTGAAATTCGTGAACAATTCTTATTAAGTAAAACTGTACTGAGAAATTATCTATACTTTAATGTCTACTTTAATTTTTTCTACAGATTCCTAAATAAAATCTATTAGAAAACAAAAGATTTAATAAGTTTTAAAAAGTTGACACCAAATGTACAAAACATTCAACCTCACTTATAAAGAAATACAAAGTGAAATGAAATGTCAACGATTTTAAAAATGAAAACACAGTTCTGAGAAATGAATGTGAATATAATTTGATATAGCCTTTCCTGAAGGCACTTTGAGAATACATATAAAATGCCTAAAACCACACAAGTCTTTATTTTCCATTTGTTTCTAGGAACATTTCCCAATGAAGTGATAGGAGATGTGGGGAAAAAAATGTATGGGTGAGAAGAAAAAAGGGATGAGTAAGTGGAGCACACTAAGTTTTTAGGGCAGTAATAAAATCCTCTGCGTACCATGAGAATGGACTCGTGTCATTATACACTTGTCCAAACTCACAGAATGCAATGCAAACCATGGACTTTGGGGGATTAGGATGTGTCAACTGTAACAAATGGATCCCTGGTGAGTGATGTTCACAGCAGGAGAAGCTGTACATGTGGGGGAGCAGGAAGCTCTCAATCTGCTATGACCCTAAAACCACTCTCAAAATTACTTTAGAAAAAAAATTCATAGATAGCGTGTTACACACTAATTTAAGCAGCAAAATTTGGGGAGAACCTAGGTGTTCAACAATAGGTAACAGGCTAAGCAAAATAGGGTATAGTGGGTGGTCACAGAATGAAACATTAGGAAATGCAGATGTTGTACATTTTTTTGTTAGTTTTATTTATTTATTTTGAGAGAGAGAGCACACAGGGGAGACACAGAGAGAGAGGAAAAGAGGGAATTCCAGAAGGCTCCATGCTGTGAGTGCAGAGGCTCACAAGGGGCTCAATCCCATGGACTGTGAGAGCCTGACCTGAGCAGACATCAGGAGTCAGCTGCCTAACCAACTGAGCCACCCAGGTGCTCCACGTCATTATTTTTAGGCAAATGACATAAGGAAATGTAGATGACATAATGTTATATGAAAAAATACACGAACACAAAATTGCATATACAGGATGGTTCCCTCCAAAAACAAAACAACAAAAACCCAGATAAATACATACACAAATAGAACCGAAAAATAAGATATCAAAATACACCAAAATGTTAACAAGTGGTGATCCTAGAATAGAGGGTTTACTAACAATTTTTACTTCAATTATAGTTTTTATCTGTTAAAATAAACGTGTATAGCTTACATAATGAAAATAAGGTTTAAAAAAAAAATATATATATATATATATGTATCGTGTATAGTGGGTTTAACCCTTCAAAAGATAACCCCCAAATCCTGTGAATGTGACCTTATTTGGAAAAGGGGTCTGTATAGATGCAATTAAGGATCATAGATGAAATCACCCATGTTTTAGGGTGATATGACCCAAGTCCAATGACCTATGTCCTTATAAGAGAGAATAGGAGAAAATAAAGAGGAAGTCTATGTGATAACAGAAGCAGAGATCTGAATGACATGCCTATAAAGCAAGCACTGCAGGCAGCCACCAGAAGCCAGAAGAGAAGCAGGAGACAGATTCTCCTTCTGAATCTCCTGAAGGAACCAACCTTACCAATACCCTGATTTTAGACTTCTGGCTTCCAAAATTTTAAGAGAATAAATGCTATTGTGTTAAGCCACCAAGTTTGTGGTAATTTGTTACAACAGCTTAGAAAACTACTACACCACGTAAAGATAGGAAGTCACACTTAGCAAATACTATAACATAAATGAAATTTGTCTTCTCTTGAAGTAAATAGACCTATAAATAAATGTGTGTATGGATGCGTGCATGCATGTGTGCATAGGTACAGGTATACGTGCATATTCCATTTTAATTTTCCTAAAGCAGATACTCCAAACACAAGAATCGTGGCCACGGCCCAAAGACATCATGTAAGGACTTTTACAAACACTCTTCACCTGTAGAAATTTATGTTTTCATAAAGTGAAAGACTGCTGCAGAAAAGATGCCCAGTATTTCACAAAATGTCTCAGCACATCTTTGTTTTTTTTTTTTAATAGTTTATTGTCAAGTTGGTTTCCATATAACACCCAGTGCTCATCCCCACAAGTGCCCTCCTCCATGCCCATCTCCTCCCCTTCCCCTCCCCCCAACCAGCCCTAGGTTTGTTCTTTCAGCACATCTATGATACTCACTAATGCCTTTTTCTTTGGGCGCAATCTTCTCCATGTCTTTTAACTGAAACACATCTTTCTGTTTAAAAGAGTTTTTAAAAAGGTGAAAAAGATGTATTTATTTTCTACTATATATTTATATTTACCATAACTATATTAATAAGGTTTGTACTAAAAGCTGTGCCTGGTAATGAAGAGTGCAACAGAATCAAGCATTTTAGAGCTAGAACAAACTGCAATTGTTCAGTATCTTCAAAAGAATTTAAAAGGGACAGATTTTACATGAACATTCAATTCTTTAAAGTAACTGGAGATCAGAATGTAAAGAACATCTTCTCATTGAGGTAAAAAAAACTACTTACAATGAATCATTTAACAAGAGATAATCACCTTCTCTGACACTGTGATTTTAAGAAAACACAGAGATTTGCTTAGCAAGTATCATACATCACAGATTTAGCAGTTTTAACTAAAAGCAAAACAGACAACTGATGGGCGTCTAGTTGAGATTCTCTCTCTCCCTCTGCCCCTCTCCCCAGCTCACACACGTGCATGCTCTCTCTCTAAAAAAAACAAAGAAAAAGAAAAAACTGAGCGACTACTGAACTAGAAGCTAACACTCATTAGTATCCTGTTATTAATTGAGAGCAGGGCTGAAAACCCTTCAATCTGAAACAGCCAATTTTGATACTTGAGAAAATTAACAATATCATAAAGGACAAAATTTCCCTCAACACTCTCCCCAGCTTTCCACAGCCTAGTAAAAATTAAATCTACTTTTCTTGCCGAGACCACAGGAAAAATACTTTAACTCTGTAGTTATAATCCTCACATACAAATTTCATCGATTTATCTTCCTAATCATTACTAATATGATACTCTGTTCTGAATTGCCAATGACCTTTGGTGAGCCAATGAAGGGAGGTAACATTAGTAAAATTACACTTAGAAGGTAGTTTTTAAAATAAAGGTCCCCAGAATGTTCTGTTGTTTTACTGAGAATCTGAATTATCAAAATGTCATGTAGTATTATTATCTTATGAATTTCATATTATATTTTGCCATTTTCTCCTATCTTCCTCACATCTGTATATAATAAAAGTAGCTAGTAGACTGTGGCCAGACTAGACTTTGAAGGTCCTGTCAAGTGTTAGGCCAAGACATAGGAAATTAGTGTTTTTTGCAGGTCTAAGATTTGGACTTGAACTGGAAGGAAAAAAAAAAAAAAAAGCTACTGTTTAGCAACATGGTAAAAGAAAAAACAAAAACAAAAACAAAAAAACAGTCTCTAGAGCCAGGTGTCTGGATTTGAATCCTGGCTCTACCACTTAGGACCTGAAACTTCAAACATATTTCTGTTAGTGGCAGGCACAAAAACCTGGAATAAATTAAGGAGGCTTATGATGTATACGTTACTCTATAGTCAGATTTACAGACGCAAAGAGGCAGCATTTACCACTGCCTCTAAAATCAGATGATCCTCCCTGGACTGGAATCTTAGTACTACCATTTTAATTCTTTGAGAGCCAGTGCTGGTAGCTTAGGCCGTGTCTCAGATGTCCTCTGTAAGAATGAGGATCATAACAGTACTGATCTCAAAGGGTTAAAAAGGATGGACTCAGATAACCTACACCAAGTGCTCAGAGCAATGATTGGCACCTAGGAAGCACTCAGTTGATGCCAATTATTATTATCATTCACAGGCGGAAAGGGAACATAATCAAATACATGCTTTGGAAAGATCATTCGGTGCCAGTGTATAGCAGGAGTTTGGACAGAAGTGAACATTGGAGTAGGGTTCTTTCATTCTCCATAGCTTCACAGAAATGAAAAATGTGTGCAGAACTTTATCTACTCTTCAGGAAATTTATTAGCAATGAAATCTGATAAAAAAGGTACAGTTGACACTGAATGACACATGCTTAAGGAGAAAATTACATAAAATACTAAAAATCTTAGGGAAAACAACTTACCGTCTCAAAAAATATTTCCATCATGCGGGCTCTCTTCTCCTCTGCACTCAGTCCTTTTTTCTTTGACTAAAGCACAAAAGTAAAAAAGTAGACACTGCATTAAAAACAAACAAACCACTGCATTCTAAAACAACTTGGTCTGAAACATTATCTGAGGTGTCATGGTCTTCTCTGCCAATGAGTTCGATAATTCTCAGAGCCAGGCCTAAAGATTCATTTGAACTACTATATGCCAAGCCTTGTGGTAGGTGCTGCCAGTATAATAATAACTGTGACTGTGACAGAGCCTGGCAGTTTATAGAAATTCAACATTTATCAAATGAGCCAATGACAAGTCCCTGTATTTACCTTCAAAGGATTTACAATCTCTCAAAGAAAATAGACGAAACTAAAAAGTAATGAAATGGATATGTACAAATTGCTACCAAGGACAGAATTAGTTGCGGGAGGGTAAGGGCTATCTAGGAAGGCTAGAGATGAAGCGGATTTTGGCAAGTTGAGAAATGGGGAGACAGTGTCCTGGGCAGACCATACACAGCCACAATGTTGTGGAAGTCCATGGAACGCATCCGAAAGACAAGCACTCAGGGATGATTGCTGCGTAGTGCATGCAGAGGGAGGGGCAGAGAAGGTGAGAAAGATTGTCGGAGGCCAGATCACAGAAGGACTGTCCATCTGAAGAGAATGTATGTTATTCTAGAATAACATGAGAAGCTATGGACGGATTTCTAAAGCAGAGGAGTGACAAGATTAGAGTTCCATTTTAGTAAGATGGCATATGGTAGCACTGTGGAAGATAGGCTGGAGGAAGGAAAAACCTATCCAAGTGGACAATGGAAGCCTACTGTAGGTTAATACTATAACTACGGTTTAGCCCATTTAAAATTAAGATAATTAACATGTAACTAAAATGTCTGTTGACAATTCAATTTTATAATATATTGTATTTAGAATATATAAAGCTGAAATTCAAATTTTTTTAAAAAGCTAAGTTTCCTCAATGCAAAGATTCACAGAAAATAACAAAAGAGAGAACCATCATGTCTAATAGAGAATTCCATTCTAATGTTTAAGTCATCTACATCTTCCTCAAAAATCACACAGGATCATGAGGCAATATAAACTGTTTAGTCGGAACTTTAAAATGCTTTACATCACTTTAAAAAAGGCAGACATTAAAAACAAACAAAAAAAGACTGAGCCTTTGCAACCAAATACTCCATCGGAAAATGAAAGCCTATAGAAGACCGGGAAAGGGATTGGAAATTGCCATCCTGAATACATACTGGAGTCCACGTGTCTTTATTCTACTTGCAGAACCTAGAAACCCACTAACCGATTTTCACAGCAATAAAATTATCAAGTGTTGCTGGATGAGTTGTACAGATAAAATAAGTAGGCTTAACGTTGATATTTCTCTTTTTCCTCCGTCTACTCTCGAACACTAGTTCCCCCAGGTTCTCCATTGATCCCCTCATCTCCTCACACCTTTTCTTTGGTCTTACCAGCTATCATGGTTTTAACAAACACTCACGCTGAATCCTCAAATCATAAATCGGTCTCTGAAGTACACTCCTGAGCTTCAGTCTCATGTATTTGCCTGCCTGCTGGACAGACTTCAAACTCAGAGGGTTTAAACTGAACTCTTCTTCTCCCACATCTACTCGCCAAACCTGCTGTTCCAGGTCTTGAGCTCAGTTAGATACCACCTTGTCATCCAAGCCAGAGGCCTGGCAGTCAGCCCAGGTTCCTTCATCTCTCATCAGACCAATCACCAAGTTCTGCCAGTTTTAGTGCTTAACTATTCCTCAAATCTATCCAGTTTGCTCCATCCCTATAACCTCTACCTCGATTCAGGCCTTCGTTATGTGTGCTGTCTCCTGCAACAGGCCTGCAACCCCCCTGGCCACACTTCGTCTCACCCTCTAAGTCCACATTCCACACTGCCAAGAAACCAATCTAACTATGCCTTTCCCCTGCTTAAAAGACTTCAGTGGCTCTGAACCATCCAGAAGTATCCAATCACTCTACAAGGCCCTTTATCACCTGACCCCAATCTACCTCTCACAGATACCACTCCCCACATCATATGTGACCATACCACGGAGAGTTACGCCACTGGAGCTGTAACACAAAACTCAAACAGTCCCTGACTTACCATGGTTCCACTTTTTCAACTTTATGATAGTGTGAAAGCGATGCACAGTCAATAGAAATCATGCTTTGAATTTTGAATTTGAATCTTTTCCCAGGCTCATGATAGGTGGTACAATACTCTCATGAGGGTGGGCGGCCACAGGACCAATCATTGTTTTTCACCTTCAGTACAGTTTCAATAAATTACATGAGACATTTAATACTTTACTATAAGAGAGGCTTGTCTTAGATGCTTTTGCCCAGCTATAGGCTGATATCTAAGCGTTCTGAGCATGTTTAAGGTAGGTTAGGCTAAGCTATGGTGTTCCATAGGTTAGGTGTATTAAATGCATTTTTGCCGTAACGATATTTTCAACTTAGAATGGGTTTATCGGGGTGTAACTCCACTGTGACTGAAGAAGATCCGTACTTGAAATTCTCCACTCACAGCATGCTTTCCCATTTATATCTCTTTAAGAAAATGTTCTATCTAAAACACCTGCTCCTCTCTCCTATTCGAAACTCCAAAAACAATCTCCCAAGGCTTAGTTTAAGCACTCTGGGAAAGAGCTTCCCAAGCTCACAGGACAGGCTGAGTGCCATTCCATGCGCTCCCAGAACACAACTTCATCAGATCAATTTGTATACTTGTCTTTCTTAGCCGACTGAAAACTTCAGAACATGCACTGCCCTTGCCTTCCTAGAGCTTAGTGCTAGAGAGAGCAGACACAAAGGCCATCCCTGGACTTCAGGACCATGTATCTTTAGCCCGAACTCTACGAGACTGTTCAGGCTCCCAAACCCCACAACATCCTCTGCACTCCCATAAATATGACATAGGGTAACTTAATAATAAAGAATTCTGTGCTAACCATTTATGGCTTTCCTGGGGAGATAAATTGCAGAAATCTTAGGTGGGCAAGCTCCAAATATAGACCTATTCGCTAAACCCAGAGTCGAGAGCCAGCTTTCAATACTGCTTTAATCAGCCTCCCTTCACACTGGCCTCAGCAGTATCATATCAGAACAACCAAGCATGAAATCCACACCCAGTTAGAAGGCTCTTTCGATTCATTTTTCTAGTCCAATGGGTTTCAAACTGCCATTAGAATCATCTCAGGAGCTTTTCAAAAATACTGATGCCAAGGCACATGCCATATGAACTGAATCAGAATCTCTGAGACCAGATCTTGGCCTGGGCATGGGCATGCATATTTTACAAAGCCTCTCCAGGCGCTTTAACCGTACCCCAGGGTGGATACGCTCTTCTCACTGCTCTTCTCACCCCAGAATCTAAAACCAGGTCAGGGACACCGGGGCCCATGAGGATCCCTTCAGGACTTTACTCTGTGGCTGCATCACTGGAAAGCAGACCCGAAGCTTTAAATGGGTCCTAACATTTTGCTATTATGAAACAGCTCCTTGGAGGAACTCCTGGACTCCACAGGAATCTGCCCCCCAGAAGCAGGCGATGAGGAGAGTCTAGTGTCCTGGAGGCACACAGTTTTAGGAAAGCTCCTATCGCTCAGTTCAGAAGCTATGACAGTTACTCAAGAAATATGGATGAGCTGTATTATCCATTTACATTGTTTTCAGGCTAATTTACTCATCAGTCTCCATGACCAGAAATAGTTTTTTTATTTTTAACCACAGTAGGAGAGTATCATGGCCAGAATTAAAATAACTATGTAAAAGGATACCATACTAATTCATATCTAGAAATTTCTCCCCAAAAAATCAACAAGGGCTTAATAGTTCATATTAAAGAAAATCTGCTGACAACGTGAGAGATACATTCAAATTAGTAAGTAAGGGGACTCAAGATTTGACCTGAGGACGACAAAGCTTCCTGGTCGACCAACATATAGCTATCCCCACTTTTCCAAAGACCTACGTCAGTACCTATTTTCACTAACCAAAAGAAATCCTAAGAGCAGTTTCACTTGTACGGAAAAAAGGCAAAAAGTGAAAAAACAGTCCTCAGCGTTTGGTTTAGGAATGGCTCCACCAAGCTCCTTCTCTGGGAACTACATTCAGCATCTCAAGCATAAGCCACCATAGCTTTGAACTGTGTCTATGAGTATCTGTGCTCTACCTCAATTTTATGGTGTGCATCTGTTAGCAAGATGTGTCCTAGGGTATGTGAAAAGCCTGAGAGAGAGAAAAAATTCTTTAAATTTTTAAAACATTAAAAGAGAGAAAAGCCCAAGAGGGATTATTTTTTAGGTCTAGGAAATGCTCAAAAAATTTTTCCATATAAATTAATAAGTGCTGCTGCTTCCCTTTACATCATTTCAGATGCCAAAAGGCTTCACAGGAACACTACTCTTTCAAAGAGTAGGGGAAATCTGTATTTTAAACCACTTAAAAAACTGTACATCTAAGGAACCTTCTCCAATTAGGAGTTACAGAATTCCTAAAATCAGCCCTGTTTACCAACTACAATAAAATTTTGAAAAACTAAAAGTAGATGATATCTGTTGCCCTCAGAAGTGGTAAAGAACATTATATTTCTCCAAATCCAAAAATATGCCTGCACGTGTTTACCCACCAAGCCCAACCAAATCAAAACAGCGATTAATTCATAATTAGGAAAGGGAACAAAAATTTGTCTTTGATCAACATAACACTAAACTTACTTCGTGAGCATACATTAAAAAAACAGGATGTATCTCAAAGTTTTATTCTATTTCATGCTTCTCCATTATCAGAGGTAAGCATCTGAAAATAGTTACCAGCATATACGTGATTCATGTGTAAAGAGAGATTAGGTAAAAGGATAATGTTAATGCATTTGTGCTGCACAGTTCTCAGTGGCCAGTTTTTTCAGGACAGTAACTCTACTGAGAAATATGCTACCACACAGCACTGGTAACAGATTTAAGTGTGGTCCTGTTTGCCTTTTGAGATCATTTTATGCCCAGGTGGCTGCGTTGCTAGTTTGACCACAAAGAAGCCGTTATCAGTTGTAATTGCATCTGGACAAGTATCTTCAAATAAATACCATACAACCTAGATCCTTGCCCAGCAAAATAACGGCCACTTAACTAAATTAAGATATTAAAATCTTAGATTCATTTAATTAGATGTTGATTCTCTGCCAACAGAAGCAGAAAAAAAAATGACATGAAACTGAAGTTTATGGAAATGATTTGATGAGGGGCGCCTGGGCGTCTCAGTGGGTTAAGCCTCCAGCTCTTAATTTCGGCTCAGGTCACGATCCCAGGGTCTTACGGATCAGGCCCCACCGCCGGGATCCGCTCTGAGCGTGAAGCCTGCTTGAGATCCTCCCTCCCTCCCTCTAACTCTCTCTCCCACTTCGTGCTCTCTCTGTAAAGTCAAAAAACAAAAAAGTTTTTTTAATGCTCTGATGAGCTCAAAGACATTACATTCACGAGGAAAAAAGATCGATTTGGAATCTGACCGGGACTTAATTAACCTGCCATGGCACGCAGGGAAGGCTAACTCAGTGCAATGCTTTCCTAACAGACTAACTCCTTACCAGGCAGCAGTTCAGAGCACAAAAGGGCATCGATTCCAGCCCTTTGGTAACAGAACAACAGATTTTCAAGGAAATCTTACTGGCCTAACGTGAAGATTCGTTACGCTACTTCCGAATCCGTGAGCCACTCAGAAACGTGCTCTGCAAATCATAATACACAGCCCCCGTCTAGGCTCCAAGATGCCGGCTCGCTCGCACCTTTCGCCCCTCTTCCTGAGAGGCTGCACCTTTGGCAGCGGAATCCGGGGAGCCTGGTGCAATGGGTCTGAAGCGACTCGTGCTCTGACAGGTCGCTAAGTGTGCAAGACGTTCGGGTAACGCTCCCGAACGCCTTCGGGGTTTAACCTAACGTGTCGCGCGGAGGGCTCCGGGGACAGCGCGGGGCGCGGCAGGGCGGGGAGGCGGCGGACGCCCGGCGGCGTAGGGGTAGCAGGCCCAGGGCCACGCCTCAGCCTCTGAGCTCGGGCCGCCGTCAGGCTGGCGGCCCCTCCGTGGGAGCCAGGCCCCCGAGGCCCGCCGGGACTACACGCTGTCGGGGGGATCCGCCGCCCGGGGAGGCGGGAGGAGCGCGAGCCTGGAGCGTGGCCTCGGTTCTTACCATAGCGGGTCTTCTGAAGGCCGGAGCTGCGCGAGGCGCGAGGCGAGAGGCGGGGCGGGACGAGGCGGGTTTGATTTTGGCGCGGACGCCGCCAGGGGGCGGAGCAGCGATGAGGAAGAGGTGGGAGGGAAGCCGACCTCCATCCCAACGGTGCGCGGCGACCCCTGGCGGCCTGGCGGAGCGGCCGGCCGGAGAGGGGCGGGGTCCGCCAGGGCGCTCCTGGGACTGTTATCTCCGCGGCTCCCGCCTCTGCGCTCCTGACATATAAGGTGACTCCTTTTTTTAGAAAGTCTTGAGCCCTCACTTTAGGGCACGGTTTCCTCGCGCCGTAGAAACCCGGCTTAAGTTGGCCTTAGAAAATAGAGGCGATTTGGCTGCCGGAGAAGGAAGCGCTGCCCCCATCCATCCGGATTTGCCCAGCCTGGGGCGGACTTTCTTCTCTTTCCTAATTTTACCCTTTTCTCTGCAACCTCGCTTCACTGTTTTCCCAGGTTTTAAATATCACTTTGTATTGTTTGCTTTTCCCTTAGGTGTACTTGTTTGTTTTAGATAAACAAAATAATGAGGTTCAAATGAAAGCTGTGGAAAACCCGCTACCTGATGTCTTGAAAATACATGAATAGTCAGGGATAAAGTTCAGGTATTAGCCTAAAGGCACTACAAAATTAACTCGGACTTATCAATTATTTTGAAAATTATTGTACGTTATTTTGACCCATTTTAAAGCATAGTAATTTTACTGAAAACGTGAAGAGTGGCATCTAAAGTTGAAATTTGTATCTCCTTTTGCTTCTTTAAGAAGCAGAGGCAAGGGGCGCCTGAGTGGCTCAGTGGGTTGAGCTTCTAACTCTTTACCTTGGCTCAGGTCATGATCTCACAGTTTGTGGGTTCCATATCAGAACCTGCATAAGGTTCTCTCTCTCCCTCTCTCTGCCCCCTCCCTGTTCACACTATTTTTCTCAAAATAAATAAACATTAAAAAAGAAACGAAAAGGAACAGAAGCAAGGGAAGGGTTATATTGATTGCTTAGAGTTCCATTAATTTAGTTTTCCCCAAGGTGCATTAGGATACTCTGTGATTGATGGTACATGACCTGATATTAAAATAGTAAATGGGCAAAAAAGAGAAATATCTAAAAAAATAAAATAAAATAGTAAATGGGTAGCCATTTAATACATGTTTTAATATGTACTATAAAAGTATAAGTAGCCCATTATACTCTGCATTTCTCATGTATTGCTCTAGATATGGATGAAATCTGTCAGAAAAAAGGAAAGTGATACTTAAGAAAATACTAAGTTACTGCACTGGTGATAAGTAGATTTGACAAAAATCATAAAGGTGACGCTTGTGGGAAGACTTGCCTTACTTGGCTCTGGAACTGCCATACCTGTTCCCTCCATCTGGAATGGCCTTTCTCCATTTGGCTTATTCTTGTCCCTCTTTAGATAGCTGAGATGTCTGGGAGACCTGACATTTGACTCGCTTCAGGAAACATTTTCCGTGTCTCCCCCTCCCATGGCACAAGCAGATCGGGTCTCTTCGGTGGTATGCTGTAGCAATCTGCAGTCTTATCACAGCATCCCACATTCATTTTATAACTGTTTTCTTTGACAGCTTCCCTGTAGTATCAAGCTCCTTCCTGTGGCAGAGGTTAAGCCAACTATTTTAGTGTCACCAAGACCTAGCACAGTGCCCAACACATGGTAAACAATAAATGTGTATCAGATAAATGTACTGGGTATTTAAGAACACCGTCTCTTCATTGACGTGGGGATAACTAGATATGGTTTTCAGTTGAAAAGAAAGGATATTGTACTTTATTAAAAATCTTAATTATTTGTATTGGGTAATGCTTTCCCATTTATTATCCTTACCAATAGAATTTTGAAATTATCATATATACCATTCATATGTGTTCAATTAAACAAGGAAACCATTAAACTCTATTGTGTGGTTCTAATGCTGCAGCAGCCTGCAAGGGCAAACCACAATCTAAGCCTGTAAATGCCTCAAGGTTAGGAAATCAAAACACTGAAGACTTACATCAGCCAACAAGACTTTAAGCTTTAGTGAATCAAAGAATTTCTTTGGTTCTGCTCTTTCCCTATATACGTCATTTGGCTGGCTCCTGTCGCCAGAGCAATCCTATCCACTTCCAGTTTGGCACTGCCTGATTCGAACAGATTTTGCTCAGACTCCTAATATGCTTCAATTTACCTTTTAATAGATGTCTTGAGACACCCCAAGTTTTGCAATACTATGGAGCAGGTAGACGTAGTATACACGTTTTTAAGTATGGTAAATAAATATTTGCAGCATCTGAGGAGGACTCATGAATTTGGATCCTGTATCCACCATCTAGTGTTTGCTATGGTACCCAAATGGCATTTGTTTATTACACAAATGTGTGTTTTACAAAATCCTGAAGCATAGATTAAGTTCATTCTTTTTACTTTACCTGCTGACTGCAAAGGGTGTGAAGATGAACCAGACAGGTCACACCAGTAAGGAGTTTATGTGTTAGTCAGAACTGCCCTTCCATCTCAGCTGCCTTGCCCAAGACCCTGCTCCTTAGAGGGACCTGTTGCCCTTACTCCAGCCACAACCCTCCCCATAGGCAAGGAATCTGCAGGGCCACAGAGACATGCCCCACCCCCCCAGAACCTCCCTTCTAGACTAGGAACGTGGAAACCCAGAATCCCCTGAGTTTTCCCCAAAACAGAGCTTGAGACAAAGATGTGCTGGTAATTTATTTGGGACTTGGGAGGCAGCAAGGGAGAGATGGGAAAGGAGCAAAGCCACTAAACATGTGTGCACTTCTCGGTGTGGGTATTTACAAGTCTTTACAAACTGATCTGCTTTGCCCAAGAGAATGGACGAGTTTGTGGAAGGAGAGAACACAGGAGAGATGAGATCTGAGGACAGAACTCCACTGGAGAGGACATGGTGAATCTCCAGGTGCCTTCCAGGCCCTTGGCTGCTTTCTGTCTTTAACCCCGGCATTCTTGCTGCACACAGGTGTGGTCCTTGCTATGTGCAACTAATGAACTCTCTGCCATCTGGGCCATGCCCGGCTAGACCAGGGCTAGAGCGTACAGGATGGACATAGAGCAAGCCACTTGCCTTTGAGGTGGCTAAGGAGACCTTGGATAGTGACAAATTGACTCAATTGGGTCTTCTCTTGGGAAAGATGAGTACGAAGGGCACCTAGAGTGGGTTGCTCATTGGAACTGTAGCTATATCCTAAACGTCCCTGTACTGTGGTTACACTTCTCTGAGATTCCTGATGTGCGCTCCAGTTTTGGAATACCAAACCTCAGAATGACACCACCAAGGAGAAAAGAGACACATTCTCCTGTCTCCGGTTCCCTTGCTTTTTTAGGAAATAATACTCCAAATTGAAGATAACCTTCTCATTGCCCTTCCTGGAAATTCTGAAAAGTGTGACCTCTAGGAGAAACTTATTATCAAGGAAGCAGGGAAAGAAAGTAATTTGGAAAAGACAGAGGGAAAAATCTGCAAGGTAGGGAAAGAAATAGAATGAAAAACCAAGAGAGGAGAACATTTTTTAAAAGTTTTTTAAAAATGTTTATTTTTGAGAGAGAAAGAGAGAGCATGAGCAGAGGAGGGGTGTGTGTGGGGGGGGACAGAGGACCCAAAGTGGGCTCTGCAATGACAGCAGACAGCCCGATAGGGGGCTCAAACTCACCATCAGTCAACAGATCATGACCTGAGCCAAAACCAAGAGCCAGACGCCCAACTAACTGAGCTGCCCAGGAGCCCCAAGAAATAGTCAATATTATCAACTTCTCAGTCACACCACATCTCTTGAGTTAGAAATGATAATGCTATTGTGTCATTTGTGCAGAGCATCAGTTTCAATGAGGGCTCCTGGAAGCTGGAAAAATCTCAGATGGCCTGTGGCTCACCAAAGGGCTATAGTATGTAAAATGATACATGGTATGTCTCTGGTAGTAAAATTTCATAGAGTAGGGGTAGGGGATATTAGGAAAAAATGTCTAAAAGTGCTCCTTAGGGGGATGATAGTGGAAAAAAGGTTGAGAAACACTGGTGTAGAATAAGTATACAATTTATCATCCAAACAGGGCATATCTGAGAATGAAAGGGACTGTTATGTATAATTATGTGGCATAAAGCAGGATTGTCCCCATGAATCATGTGATAACTTGGAACCCCTTGTGCTTTATTAACACTTATGGTTATTACCTTAATTTGCTCTGTATCATAGTTACTAATGCTCTTTGAATCATTCCACCTGGGAGAACAGGCAAAGTAACTTACTCCTTTTTGTAGCCCTGTCTCATTTCTCGTCATTTCTGCTTGAGCATTCTCTGGCCTCACGACATTGAACTATTTGCTCCTTCCTGGGCCACTCATGCCCTCTCGCCATCTTTTAGCAAGCGTTGGCTCCTCAGTGGTCCAGATGCAACACCAGCCCTCTGCTTTCCTCTAGGGTGAGTTCTTAGCTGCCAGTTCTCTCAGCCCCCAGCCAGCCCCTCTACCACCCTTCATTCCTGGCAGGGAGCCCGGGCCCAAGCCACGGGGGAGTCTGAGTCATGGTGTGGGGCCCTAGGTGCCCGTGAGGGTCTGTACTTACCCAGCAAGTAGCCCTATGCCCAAGGGAGTATGACATTAAATAGCAAATAAAAACCACCCCCACAGGTCAAGAGGCCATGGAAAAAAAGGAAAAAACCTTTTATATTGTTTTTGAAGGAGGGTTCCTGCATTTTCATTTTGCATCAGCTCCCACAAATTATGTAACTAGCCAATATATATTATATATACATGCGCACACACATATATGTATATATATACATGTTGAATATGAATGTATGTATGTATATATATATATGTATAAATATATATTCATTTAAGTTTCATTCCAGTAAAGCTCCATGAGAACAGGGACTTTTTAGCATGCTGCTATCCCCTAGTGGCTAGAACATACTAAACTCAGTAAATATTTGCTAATGAATACATATAAAAGCAGCACTTGTGGTATTATAATTACCTGGCCTGGTTCACTAAACAAACTGTAAGCTCTTGGAGGTCATGGGGCTTTATCATTCATCTTTACATCCCTTACACCTACCCTAAACCCTGGTGTATCACTAGGTCTTAGGTATTTATTAAATGACGGCAACTACAAAAAAAGACAATAGGGAGGAGAAAGGATAGAATGTCATTTGCCCTTCCTGCCTCTTTACTTAGGCTAAATAATAAACTGCAGCTTTAATTGAACTTGGCTGCTCTGGAAAGGAGCGCATCTGGCTTTATGTGAAATGAGTTCTCAAAGGATAATTTGAGATATGTTTAAACGTAGGGCAACTGGCTTTTATCAGGAATGCCATGCTTTCTGCTTCTGAAAACCTCCAAACAGCCCATGATGGCAATGATGCCTGCTTGGTTAAAAGAAAAAATAAGTGAAGAGTGGAAGCAGGATTAAATAAAACTAATATTCACAGTCACTGGTTTGAAGCATTAGCATTAGCAGTAGCGTTATGTTTGGCTTTTTTCTCATTTCTGTTTCATCTGTCCTTCCAAGACTGACTTAGTCTCCTCCTGTAGAGTTACAATCTATTATAAGTTTTTTTTTAACCCTCCAGAAAAACAAAACAAGAAATTTTTGTTGTGTCCCTCCACTGTTCAAAGAAGATAAATTTTAGTATTCATTCCATCACGGCGAAATAAAAACCCCAGGCTTAATGAAAAATCAAAAAGCCTATAAATAAAAAAGTTCTATGCATATATGTAAGGACATGACTTATTTATAATTAATGAAAAAAGACAAGAGTCCTTTATAGGAGAACAAAAGACCAAATATCAAATCCATACACCACTCAAAATTGAGAGCGTTATCTGTCCTCAAGTCTTGTGGGGAAGATACTGGCCTGTAGGTTAGTGGCATTGAAATGATAACTTTGACATTATGAATAGAGACTAATGTAAATTTTATTATTCAAGAAAGTCAGTGGAGGGGCGCCTAGGTGGTTCAGTCAGTTCAGCATCTGACTTTGGCTCAGGTCGTGATCTCACGATTTGTGGGTTGGAGCCCTGACAGCTCAGAGCCTGGAGCCTTCGAATTCTGTGTCTCCTTCTCTCTCTGCCCCTCTCCCACTCACGCTCTGTCTCTCTCAAAAATAAACATTAAAAAAAAAAGAAAGTCAGTGGAAACTATCTTCTTTGAAAGGATATGATATAGTGATACCCTATTATCTGTACATTTATCATCAGGTTCCTTTACAACGAAACCTCCAGAGGACTGTCTGGACATAATCTTTAGATGTTATGAGCAATGCTTGAAATGCTTGGCCATAAACTTGATGTAATATAAAAAAAAAATTTATTGTAGGGGAGGCTGGGTGGCTCACTTGGTTAAGTGTCCAACTTCAGCTCAGGTCATGTCTCGAAGTTGGTGAGTTCGAGCCCCATATCTGGCTGTCTGCTCTCAGCGTGGAGCCTGCTTTGGATCCTCTGTGCCCCCTCTCTCTGCCTGTCCCCTGCTTGTGTTATCTCTCTCTCAAAAATAAAGCATTTTATAAATAAGTAAACTTCTAACTTTTAAATTTTTTTATTGTAATAAATTTTATTTTAATTAAATTTTGGAACCTAAAGACAATATTTATAGTGAGGTCCCTTTCTTGTTCTTCACCCCTTAGAAACGTGACTACCCTGACTACCAGAAGGTCAGTCCTGTGATTCTTTAAGGATTATAAGCATATTGCTTAGGGTCTATTTGGACTTCCAAATATATTTGCTAGACATATGTGCCATGATTTTCCAAATTCCTGCTTAAGATACATCCTAAATGCTCACCAGACTATTAGCATCATAAACAACAAAAATTACACTAAGCTTTTCTCACTATTATAAACAGTTTGGTTGAGGTATTGGTATCTTCCCCATATTGTAGAACATTCCTTTATTTCCCTTTACTAAAAAAGCAAGCAATATGTAAAATACATAAACATTCACCCTGGAAATGGAGAAAACAAGCTTTATTATAATGATTTGAGATTTTGTGCATGGTAAAGGTATACACATGAATCTTGTTTCTCCTATGTTTCAAGACAGAATTAATTTAAAGTTTTATTGTAGACTAAAGCATCCAAAATACTGTGGTACATATGTAGCTACGAACATACAAACACTTTGATGCACAGCGTTCATTCTTTTCTTTAAATAGGCAGTCAGCATTTCGATTCATAAAAGAACAAATGAGAATATATCAGTATCAATGTCAGAGTGCACAAGACTTAGTGTTCTATACACAAAACATATGAAACAGACCTATAAAGATGGAATGTACAAAATTTAAAAAGAAACAAAGGAAGCAGAAACCCTTCATACTCATACATAGGATTGAAAGGCTATAGAATTGAAAATGATATAAAGAATTCTATTACAAGAATACACTCTGTTGATGACAGAACATTCCCATGTCATAAAGCAAAAGCATTGAGTTTAAGGCTGTGTTGCTTTTGAAAGTTAATGGACGTGCTGTACATTCATTGGGACAACATAGCCAATTTATTAATCTATTTTAGAATATTAATAGCTTTCATACATTCTTCACAAACAGACCACACAATCACTGCCACACAGTTCATCTTCAGAAAGTTTAAGATTAACATCATGATTTGTAGCTTACTGTCATTTAAAACAAAACAAAAAAATCATTTATTTATACCAAACAAATCTTTAATGGGCACTTAGTTTCCTTTATGGCAATACTAGATTCCTAGTTATCAAAAATATTAAAATAATTGTAAATTTTAAAACCCTGCAACATTTACAGAATGCAACAGTATTACGACTTTCGATTTTAAGCAAAATTAGATGATGTTCTCAGCAAATAGCTTCAATTTTATCCTACCTGGAAATGTCTTGTTTTTAAATTAGTAAACTAAAAACACTCCTCCCTTTCCAGAAGCTGGTGAATAGGGAGGATACTATAGAGTCCAAATGTACAAAAAGGTTTT